GAGCTTTGATGTTCCACAGACATGTACCTAAGCGGTTCTGATGTGATGCTGTTATGACAGTTTGCTATCTGATTAACAGATTACCCACCAAAGTGCTGCAGAATTTATCTCCCTTTGAGGTACTTAACCAAACTCGTCCCTATGTTGACTTCCTTAAAATCTTTGGATATATGTGTTATGTTCTTGTCCCAGAAAGCCAGAGAAACAAGCTGGATCTTAAGAGTATCAGATGTGTGTTTCTTGGTTATTCAACAAGACAAAAGGGTTATAAGTGCGAACCCAACACCAGACGTCTATATGTATCAAGGGATGTAAGATTCTTGGAAGATGTCAGTTATTTTAATAACAGAGAATGGCAAGAACTAGAAGCTGTCACAGAACCTGGACCAGACTATTCTAATACTCTCAAGTTGTTGTTGAATGAAGAGGAAGCTCGATCTCAGCAATCTGACAGAGATGAACAGTTTCGCGAGGACTCAAATACAGACACAACCTCTGAACCAGGTAACACATACAACCCTCAGACCTCTGCTGAAGTTAATCTGCCTAATATCGAGAACAGGGGAGAAGAAGTACCAGACCAGATTCATCATGAATCTGACCACACAGACATTGATCTCACATCAGCTCTACATCCTCCTACTAATCCGACAAGGGGCATCAGACTTGCCAGATCCTCAACCATTCCATTACGCAGAAGTTCCAGATCAAGGAAACCAACATACAAGTTGATCCAAAACAACAATGGCTATACGGTAACACACCCAATTCAACAGTTCTGTACCATAAGTCATTTGCCTACTATTCATCAAACATTCTTGAGCAAACTAGACGAGGATACAGAACCTCAAACATTCGAAGAAGCCAATCAACAAGAGGTATGGCAGAAAGCAATGGCAGAGGAGATCTCGGCCTTACAAAGAAATGAGACATGGGACATTGTCACTCTTCCAGAACACAAACAAACAGTGGGATGGAAGTGGATATTCAAAATCAAATATCACAGCAACGGAGAAATCGAAAGACACAAAGATCGGTTAGTAGCTAAAGGCTACACCCAAACATATGGAGAGGACTACAATGATACATTTGCACCCGTAGCCAAACTACTAACTGTAAGAGTCATTCTTTCAATTGCTACTAACTTGAATTGGCAGCTTTGGAAAATGGATGTGAAAAACGCATTCCTCCAAGGAGATCTTGAGGAGGAAATATACATGGATTTATCACCGGGACTACAACAATCTCTTGGAGGAAATAAGGTGTGCAAGCTCAAAAAGGCACTATACGGCCTTAAACAATCTCCTCGCCAATGGTATGCTAAGCTACATGAAGCCTTAATCAACCATGACTTCAAGAGGAGTGAAAGTGATCACTCCTTATTCACATTCACATCCGAGAGAGGTATTGTTGTTCTATTAGTATATGTAGATGATATTATCATCTCAGGAAACGATGTCAATGGTATAGAACACAATAAACAACTCTTACATTGCTCTTTTGATATCAAAGATTTGGGTGAACTAACGTACTTCCTTGGCATAGAAGTGAATCGATCGAATAATGGATTATTCCTTTCCCAACGGAAGTATACACTTGATCTCTTAAGTAGTGCAGGAAAATTGGGAGCTAAACCATTCAAGACTCCTATCGAAGCTGGTTACAAGTATCTACCGGAGGGGGAACCAATAGAAGACCCCGAACGCTATCGGAAAATTGTCGGTAAGCTCATATACTTGACTATTACACGCCCTGACTTGTCATTTGCTGTTGGACAGGTTAGTCAATTTATGCATGCTCCGCTTCATCGACATTGGACCATGGTTGAGCGGATCTTGAAGTACCTCAAAGGTGCCCCCGGGAAAGGAGTATGGATGAACCGAAACAATCGAGTTGACATTGTGAGATACTGCGATGCGGATTGGGCTGGAGACCAACAAGATAGGAAATCAACCTCGGGATACTGCACTTTCATTGGAGGGAATCTCACCACTTGGAAGAGCAAGAAACAAAACGTTGTTGCTCGATCCAGTGCCGAGGCAGAATATCGTGCAATGGCTACGGCTACGAGTGAGATCATTTGGCTCAAAGCCTTACTCGGAGACCTTGGTATTCATTCAGACAGTCCAATACCTCTGTTCTGCGATAATCAAGCGGTAATCCACATTGTCGCCAATCCCGTGTTCCATGAACGAACCAAGCACATCGAGATAGATTGTCACTTCGTTCATGAAAAGGTTACATAATGAATCATATCGACTCCATACACTAGAAGCGAAAATCAACTCGCAGATTTGTTCACCAAAGCTCCAAACGCCAAGAACCATGAAGCCACACTCTCCAAGCTTGGACTTGTCGATCCCCACAAGCCAAGCTTGAGGGGGAATGTCGAAGAAGATGTAACAAGCTGACACATGTTCTGATCAATCTGAGTTAATAGAAAGAATATCTTGACTGATATCTCGTCCAGTTATGGTAATATCCTAGAACTACAATCTTGGCTATCTAGGATCTCTTCATATATAAGTATTTCCCTTTTTACATTTGTCTTTTCCTTAAATCTTGTTTGTAATATACTAGTTACCTTAGGATCAAGTTCTTCTTCTTTATTTAGGTTGTACAGATTCAGAATTTCAATATAGAAGAAACAGAGCATTATACAGCTTTGGTCTCTTAAGTCTATCTCGGCATTATACTGGCCGCTATCTTTGTCTCTCATTCTCTATAATTTACAAATATACCTCTTGATTTGCACATCGGAAAAAAGTCTTCCGGGATTGTTTTGGGTTTTTGAAGTCAATCTCACGATATGACCTTCACATTCGCATTGCTGTGGGAATTCTTTATGCGGGCTAGCGTTTGCTTTTGTGAAATTTGAACTCCCACTACATTTTGAAGTTCCTTCCGATTTATAACTCATTCTACATATTTATATTCAACATTTTAACGTTACACCGATGGATCACTTTCTATATCTATCCTGGGTATACTACATTCCACAAATTCAACTCCCACTATGCATCTAGTTGTGCAACTATCGAAGCTATGAACCCATAACTATCGAAACAATGAACTATCGAACTATCGAAAGTTTCCCAGGTCATCGGTTTATCTAGTTTTATCAAACAATCTACCTGCAAATTTCTTGTACCTAACAAGCGAAAACTGAGATGAAATCGCCGGAGGAGTCGCGCAGTAGTCACTAGCCACCGGAGTTCTTGCGCCGAAAGCTGATGAGTCGTCGAGCAGAGGAGGAGAGGATGTGAGGAGAGGAGAGTCGTCGGCGAACGACGAGCACCACTGAGACCGTCAGATGCGACCGTCGACCGGACCGGAGGAACCTTCGAACAGAGGAGGAAAGGAGAGGAGGAGAGCTGAAAGGAAAATTCGAAATTTTTGTCCATCGAAACCCTAAATTCTTTTTTTTTAAATCTGATTAAATAAACGGGCATTTTACTGAGATGACCGACTAGGGTCGCACGAATTTGAGAGGTACACCTCCGAAAACATAAGGTATTAAATTTTTTTGAAAAGACGGTATACCCTTAATGAATCCGTGTAATTTGTTCGGTCGAAAACAACTTTGTTATTGCGACTTCGTAATTAATTCTAAATATAGTTGCAATTGATTCTAAACAAGGTGACAAAAAATTCATCTATCAATTTTTTAAAATAACTACGTTTTTTTTTACCACCTTCATATTCATACTATCATAACTACTTCTTATTTTAGTTGTATATTAGTTATACTTTAGTCGTAATAAAGTCGCAAAAAAATGAAAAAAAAAAAGATATTTCAGACATTTTCAACTGAAAAGTGGTATAAAAGTAAAAAAAAAAAATTTATCTTTTTAAGCGAAATTACTGCTTGCGACCCAAGTGGTTCATTTGAGTAAAATATCCTAAATAAACACCATAATTGATATTTAAACCGTTTTGAGTGAACCGATTGAATGACGTGTGAGGTGACGTGTCTCATGATATGGCTAATTTTTTGAGATGGCATGCTATGTCAATATCTGGATGCAGAGTGACACCGGAAATTCTCTTTCGGAAAATTGTAATTTAATTTATCTTTTTACGTGGATCACTGGAAAAAATTGAAATCAAATGGATGTATTGATTTTTATTAAATTGGTGTGGGTTATGAAATAAAATAAAATTTCAATACTTTCATTTAATATCATATTTATAAAAATCATTGCCTGATGTAATTCAGTTTTGCTCATTTTCTTCGTGCAAAACTATCCGAAAATCTATTTTAAAAGAAGGTTTTCACTTTTGATTCTTTTCCCTACCAATTAGGGGTGTAAAATGGGCGGGTTGGGCCGGGTTCGAGCCGGGCTTAGTTCGGCTTCGAATTTTTTGGACGGGTCAGCCCGTCCATTTATTTTTCGGGTTTATGATCGGTGGCCCGGAATCCGACCCTATAGGGCTTCGAGCGGGTTCGGACCGGATTTCGGGTTTTTTCTATTTAATAAAAAAATAAATATTAATATATAATAATAATAATAATAATAATAATAATAATAATAATAACAATAATAATAATAATTTAACAATTTTTAAAAAAACAATAACAAATTTTCGTCCATATCAATTATAATTAAAAAAATTAAATTTAATATAAATATATATATATAAATTAATTAAACCAAAATCTAATTAAATTGTTTAATAATATATATATATATATAATAAGTTTAATATATATTAATCAAATTGCTTTGAAATATAAATATATATACATATAACATACAAATAAAAGTTTTATAGAATGTTATGTGGTATTAAATCTCAAATGAATAATATAATATTTTTTCGGGTTAAATGGACGGGGCGGGTGAATTTCGGGGCGAACTCGATTCGGTCTTAACTTTTTCGGATCGAGTGGATCCGTCTATTTATTTACCAGATCTATATTATTAGGTCCAGCGTTTAATTTTTCGGACGAGTTTCGGGTCGGGCTTCGGGTGGTATTGACACCCCTGGTACCAATATATCCTAGATTTAGAAGAAGACATACACACACTCGGTGGTGGGGAATGGAGAGCGGATTGATATCGGTGGATCGGTGGAAGAGAGGTAGCGAAGCATACTTCCTGACTCACATGCACTCGGACAACACGAGAGGCCTCTGCTCCAAATGGTCCAATGGCCCTCTCTTCTGCTCTCCCACCACTGCTTCTCTTTTTCCCTCTCGGTTTCCCGCCTTCGATCTCTCCTTGATCCGCGTCGTCACTCTCTCCTCTTGGATCTCCCTTTCCCTCCGAACTCCTGCGTCCGGCGACGCCTTCACCTTCCACTTCATGGCCATTGATGCTCACCACTGTCCTGGTTCATATCGTATTCCATCTCTGCTGTAATGTTGTCCCTCTCCTTGGATTTACTAATTTTGGTCCAGATTCGATTTCTAATTAACTAGGTTCTGTGATGTTCCTGTTTCGGGGGGATTTCGGATGCTTTCTCTACACGGGAGACTTCCGCTGGGACTCGGAGTGTGATGATGCCAAGGCCACCCTCGCCGATGCTATCAACCACTTTCCCGTCGACGTTCTTTACTTGGATAACACTTACTGCAATCCGATCTACAATTTCCCTTCCCGTCATTTGATTGCCCCTCTGGTTCGCTCTTCATTTTTTTTCGTCCAAAAAAAACATTACCCAGAGTTGGCGTTATTGCCCTCTCTTATCATTTTGATTCCTCGCAGGTTGCTGATATAATCGCCTCGCATCCTTCCCATGATATCATCATTGGAGTCGATTCTCTAGGCAAAGAAGAATTGCTCGTTCGCATTTCACGCATTCTGAATACCAAGGTTATATTTAATTTTCATGGAAATGAATATAAAGCTTTCTTCTGTTTATCCTGCCCATACTTGCTCTGATATCCCTGTCGTTCCTTTTATCGTCTGCTCATGATCATGGTATACCATTTGCAACCCTGATAAGCAATGCTTTGTCTGCATCATGTCTGGTTTGAACTTTTGAATCTGTGAATGGGCTATCCTACTCATGCTTGCAGTAAAGGATAATACATCCGGTATTATGATATCCTTGGGGACTTTCAGGTTGATGGAGAATTAATTCCTTTCTTGTTTTTGTTTTCTTCCCTAGATTTGGGTTTGGCCAGAGCGTCTTCACACCATGCATCTTCTTGGATTCAAAGACATATTCACAACTGACACCACTCTGACCAGAGTACGGGCTGTTCCTCGTCAGAGTTTTAGCATTCAGACCCTTGTGGAGCTAAATACGATGTGTCCAACTATTGGCATCATGCCATCTGGCCTCCCATGGGTGAAGAGAACCTATGGAGGAGATGCAAATCTGTCTGGTTCTCTTATAACGGCTAGTTATAATGCAAGAAAGAATACAAATGGCCCCAGGAAAAAAAATTTGCAGACGGTGCATAAATTCCACGATTACATGTATTCAGTCCAGTACTCTGATCATTCATGCTTTGAGGAGATCGGGGATTTCATAAAACTTGTCCAGCCAAAGAGTATGAAAGGAATCGTGGCTTCATCATCTTGCTACGTTGATCCTCTGTACTATTTTGGTCGTATCTGTGGAACTAGCCAGCCTCCAGAGTTGTTGCTAATGAGGCCTCAGCAACGCAGAGGAAACAAAGCAATTCCGAGCTGTTAGGATAAAGTCGTGATTAGATCGGGCAGATTGAAACGAATTCAAAAGGGTCATTCGGCTTTTAAGAGAAACAGGGGAAGGAGGACAGGTGGACGGTTGAAGTGTGCAAAATTTTCTCTCTGACCTCATTCTGGTGGATTGGAAGTGTACCGGTCTCGGTGATACTTTCAACATGTCAATATCGCACAGGCGGAAATGTGTTGGGGGTTTTCACCAAAACGAAAATTCAAATGATACAAACACATATGCTATGGTTGGTTCTTTTATTTTCTTGGTTTTCCGAGAGTTCAAATAGATTCTTCAAAACTATCTAAACGATTGAACGGATTCCCTGAAAACTGGATGAACATGATAGATGTATGGTTGGTAGATTCATTGAATCTGGACTATAGTTAGTTTTGATGTTTTGGCTGTTAGTATTAGTTAGTTAGTAGTTTCGGCAATGAATACAGATTAGATAGAGGAGAAAAGAGAACGCAGTAGTTTCAGAAAGGATTAGGGTTTGTCTGGGGAATGAGAGTTAGGATCCTCTCATAAAACAAGATCATCCAAAGTTGTACTCAGGTTTTCGGTGAGGAATAAAGGCTCGATTTACATTGGAAAGTTGAGTTTCAGATTTTGAACCTTAACAGATTGGTATCAGAGCCCGTCTTCAATCGGAAATGGCAGAAACCCATGAGCAACGAATGGCGCAGTGGGACAGAATAGAGGAAATGTTTTCGAAGCTGTGTCGATGGATGGAGTCCGATCGCGATCGTCGGAATTCGACAACTAGGTCAAATCCGGCGCTAGCAACGGTAGCCGACAAGACGCAGACAAATCGTGATCTAGATCCGCAAATCGATAGCGATCCAGCACCGAAAAACCTTCCGGAGGTTCAAGAGGTGATTCCGCAGCCAAAAGAAGAAGGCGATGTGCAGCAACAGGAACGATTCATAGGAAACAATAGTTCGCACCTCAAGGTGATACCGATCGCGTTCGTCGATCGCGTAGAGGCTAATCATGACCAGAACATGCCGATCGGAGACTTGTCGATTGATCGTGACAAAGTCCCAAAGATGCAGCCAACGGCTGGGTTTACAGATTCAGGTGATGGGGGACTACAGAACAAATCTCTTTCAGATTGATTCATCGGGAAGGCTAATTCACACATGAAGAAGACGACAATTTCGGTGTTCGATGACAGCTTCATTCTGGAATGGGATGTCAAAACCGAAAGGTACTTTGGATTTGGTGGTTGTAATGACAAGGAGATGTCTTACCTAGATTCTACAGGTTTGGCTGGGGAAGCTTTGATGTTGTTCAATGGCCAGAAACAAATTGGGAAGTGCAATGATTGAGAATTTTTTAGACTCTTATGATCGTTGTGGCACTCGTATAGAGCTGAGGAGGAAGACATGTGATGATGCAATTCTTGGTAGAGCTGTGTTTCAGTCAGAGAAAGGGATATTTCGGCGGTTTAGATTGACAAACAATCATATTGGGCAAACAGGACATATCAGAAATTGCGGAAGCATGCCATTGGAAATGAGTTCAAGCCAGCTCCGAATCCAAAACAACTTTTGGCAAACTTGGAATGGCTGGAGGAGCTTAAGCAGATTTTGGCCAGCCATTATACTACGGTCGGAAAGTTAGAAGTTGAAGAGGATTTGAATGAACGAATTCCAGATTCTTGAGGACAAGTTGAAACTCAGGGGGCGGTATTGATAGATGTATGGTTTAGGTGTATGGTTTAGGTAGATTCATTGAATCTGGACGATAGTAAGTATGGGTTGTTTTGGCTGTTAGTATTAGTTAGTTAGTAGTTTCGGCAATGAATAGTTATAAATACAGATTAGATATAGGCGAAAAGAGAATGCCGAAGTTTCAGAAAGGGTTAGGATTTGTTTGGGGAATGAGAGTTAAAATACTCTTATAAAACAAGATCATCCAAAGTTGTATTCAGGTTTTCGGTAAGGAATAAAGGCTCGATTTGTGTTGGAAAATTGAGTTTCAGATTCTGAACCTTAACAGAACACCACCAGTAATTCTGCTCATATTATGTTGTCTGCAGAACAACTAGCATTACACAAGAACAGCTACGGAGTAACAATTACATGACAAAGCAGACAAGGGATTCTTTAACATTACTCCTCTGCATGTCCTGTATAGTGTTTATGCTTGGTTCTCAATAATTTTCAGAGATGGCGTACAAAAACTGAGGCAGAGACGCGATCCTCGGAAGAATATCACTCGGGGACTCGTTCCTAGGGATTGTACCCAACTGCTCATCTTCTTTCGGATTTGCCAATCAAATGCCAAACCCCTTGCTTTCCCCTGCATTCAAGGAACTGCCCTTTTGCAGCAAGAAACAAAGAGAATTCACTATTGACATTATCTGTTCATCTGAGGTAGATACAAGCATTGTATCATTCAGCAGGCACTGGGCAATCTCCCTCGTGGTGACTTTGTTTTGCAGGTTGTCCTCCGAAAACATGGGATTTCCAGATGCCATTGCTTGGGATATGCAGTGTCCAATGCGACTCAACAGATCACTTACAGATGCTGACGGATGGATCCCCGTCGTCGTGCAGTCATCTTGCCCCCATCCCTTCCTCCTGCTGCCCCGAAAGTTCTCAATTGTGCGTGTATCTATCACTAGAATTAGATAAAACTTATGACAATCACAAGCAAAAAAAATGTACATTTGCAGAAGAAGCCCATGGTTTACCTGAGCTAGTTGAAGGAATTGCTAGGCAAACATCCTCTGGAACTCCATTGGAAAACTTGCAGTCATCTACTGAGGAAGGTGTTTGAGTAGCAGGAGCCGTGGATGGAAGACCAATCTCCAGTGTCGGGATACTGGCTGATTCATTAGTATCATCATATAATGAAGATCTGGATTCAAGATATATGGGGACTCTAGAAAGATCTCTGGCTGTTGGCTGAGAAAGTGTAGCTGCGGATCACATTGAATAAGCTTTTCCAAATGCCTGCCTAAGAGACCCGGTGGACACTGCAGGACATGGCACCTAGAGCGAGTGAGCGAAAACATCAGAAACCATACAATCCAATCCCACGGAAACAAAGTAAAAGGAAAAACTCCCTGAGATACAGAGCAGAAGGTGTGATTAACTAACTTATTCAAGCTGGCTTGACCACCAGTGAAACCAGAAGTGGCCTTCCACAAAGTATGTTTCCTTGGCTGAGGATTTGTCTCCCTGGAGAAAAGGGGCGGCCTTGCCAACTGCAAAGAAAATTCACCATCATCGGCAGAAGTGAAGTACCACAACATCCAGGGTGTCGGGTCCATCATGAGAGTAATTGGCTTTGATGGCAACGACATCTGACCACTGTATCTCAATCTTGTTCTCTCGAGACCACCATCAAGCGTTTCCCACACAAGCTTGTGTTTTGCGAAATAACATTTGCCCACCAGGTCCTCCTCGTATCTCAACTTGTACTGCACTCACACGACACGGATTTTCAGTAGTGTTTTGGCCTTGGGAAAGAAGAGAGCTTGAGGAAGTTGAGCTTATCAGTTTGAGGAATTTCGCTGAGAAAGTCTCATCCGAATGAAACCCAAAGGACCCAATCCTCCTCCTTCCACACCACACTGCAACCAACACTCGAATCCCAGTGACCAAACTGATTATTACCGACTAAACCCATCAATATTGTACCATAGATATGCAAGAGGTACCTGCAGAGAAGTGAGCGCCAGGAACTTGGACCGTTTAGGAACGGAAGAAGGGTCGCATGAATCGAGAAACTCCTCCAGCTTCACTTTGCGTCTGGAAGACATCATCTGTACCATTGCTTCTATCAGCGATAGAAGTAATTAGACACCGATTGCCACAACAATCGCCGTCACGCTCTCCTCGTTTTTTACTTGAAAAGTGTGCTGCGAACACGAGAAAAAACACGCGGCATTACCAATATAAAATGACCATACTGCCCCTAATATTCACGGCTCTTGGATCTTATCACGTGCATGAAAACTTCTAAGAGGTTAAATCAAGCCGTTCAGATTGGATAAGCTAGAACGTGGCGTCATCCCGTGGCTCGTTCGTGTTTGGAGGATTATGGTGTCTCATTTGCAAAGTAATTTAATGCATATCTTTTTAAGTCGTAATCAAGTCTTTTGTCGTTTTCTCAATTTGGATTCTTGCTAGCTTTTTTTTATAAAAAAAAGTCCAAGTGGAGCTCGTGAAAGCAATGGAACGGATGGATCCAAATGTTCATAAATATATTTTATTTTTTACCACCGCTAATTAATTCCTTTTGTAACGACAGGAATCTTCCTTTTTGTATCTCAAGGACGATAGACTTCAAAAAGTGGGACGAGATGTTTATAAGTAGAGGGTTGGGGCTTTTTCTATCTGGTTTCGATTTCACTTCTACGAATTTTTTGAATATTATCTTGGTTTTGATTACGCAAGGTTTGTATTCGTGGTTGAAGTCTTTATCCGAAAATATATTTATTCGTAAAAAATTTCGAAATTTCGTAGATTAAAGTGTTTCGAAAATTTGACGCAAAAATATACCTAAATAATATTATAAAGAATAAAGTAAAATTAAATAATTTGATTCTTATCTATAATGTTTCGAAAAAAATTGATCCAGGTTTTTGGTCTCCTTGCGTTTGTGGAATATCGCGAGACCGGATAATGAAAATTCCATGAATCTCGAATAAAAAAAGGTCTACTCCTTGGAAGAAAAAATCTTTTTATTTGCAACGTTTTCATAGCAAACGTTGGCCTTAAGAAGTAACCTCCTCATGTAAGTCACAATTTGGTCTTTAACATCTGCCCCGATATTAACCTCAACTTAAGGAAATCGGCTTAATTAATGTTATATGTTCGTTCCCCTATCATGCATGCCGCCGGTATCATCCGCAAGCTTCAATGTGTTCTTTCATCCATGAATCTGAAAAAGGCGCCATTTGACCCCCCCAAAATACCATATAACTGTTGTATACATTTTGAACAAGTTGGACGACAGGCATCACTCCTACAACATTACTTCTAACATGACAGCATAGCCGGAGCTTGTACATGATTTAGAGAATGGCTAGTTAGTGTCCCCATTAGACGACAAGCAGCAGACGATCACATTAGGGAAGAGAAGCGTTTTTCATTGATAATTAAAAAAAACAGTTGCTTCATCATGCTGCAGTATTATTTACTGCCAACAGATGTTGAGCACTCGTCCTTTAGGGCCATCCAAAGGCAAAGACACGGAATCCATGTCGCCCCACCACAACTCCTAACGGTATACCCAAAGCCTTTCCTCAAAACTCTGAAACACTCAGCAGCTGTACAAGTAGAGATACTACTGATTGTCCACGATAAAGCTCTTAACTCAAGCCAAAACCACGAGAGACTGAACATCGTCCATCAACACTGATGTTTTCAATCATGGTGAATCCCGTTTCCATTGCTATATACATCCGGTGCCCCTCTCCACGACCTGCCCACACCTCTGTTTTGATAGACTTTAGCCTTTGGTGTTCCATTCGCAACTCCATTTGCCAATACTTTGTCCCCTTGGCCACTTGTTCTCACAACAGCTTCTAAACACCCAGACGCCGCTGCAATGAGACCTGCGTGCAATTTAATTACACCTTTCAGTTGACAAGATCTAAGAGAAACTATCTAAGATCTGGAAATGGTGAAAAGTCACCTAGGAAAACTGCAGATGGTTTTCCAGGTCTAGACTTGAATTCAGGGTGGAACTGAACACCCATAAAGTATGGATGACTAGGTAATTCTACAATCTGCACAACAGCAAGCCAGCATAATGATGAGATACAAGGTAAATAAAACTTGCATTCAATATTCCAGGCCTAGATGCTAACACAGGTATGTTACCTCCATACGCCGCCCAGTCTCATCCTTGCCAACAAACGAGAGGCCAGCCTTCTCGATTTCTGTTGTCATGTCTGGGTTTACCTGCAAAAGAGTGCAAGTCTCTTTAAATTCCTGGGATGACATCCTTAAACCCCCCACCCCCCAAAAAAAAACAGAGAAGAAAGGAGGATCTGCATTGCCACTGATGCACGGGAAACATTACTACCTCATATCTGTGTCGGTGTCGCTCATCGACAAACTTAGCATTACCATACCTACAAAGATGGGCATGAAAAGTTTAAGAGGCAATGAAAATGAATCATACATGTTATACAGAGAGAGTCATGTCCTTACAACTTAGCAGATATGCAATCAGCAACCTGAAAGTAAGTCCTTCTCGACCCTAACCGCATAGTGCCCCCCATATGAGTTTTGGATCCCTAAATAAAGAGAACAAGTTTAGATTAAAGTCTTGGAACAATAGAAAGCAGTCAAACGAGAAGAGCTATATGGGTATGGCTCCAGAAACCTCTGGCATAAATATGACACAAGGACTTGAAGTTTCAGGATCAAACTCCGTGCTATTTGCATCATGCAAACCAAGAACTGAGCGGGCAAACTCGACAACAGATAATTGCATTCCCAGACATATCCCCAAGAATGGAACCTTGTTCTCACGAGCATACTTTATAGCAAGTATCTTTCCCTGCACTCCTCTATCACCAAACCCTCCTGGTACAAGAATACCATCGGAACCCTGCAAAAGGGCAACACTAAATGGAACATATGTATCAATAGGGCCATGCTCCATTAAAAAATTTCTTACCTTCAAAAGACTCCATGCAGCCATGTGAACATTCGGCGCCTGCAATTGCCATCATATCATTAGCAAGTTTTACAAAAAGTAAGGACATGTAAGGAAGTTTTTTCCATTATTGTAATACTGCGACAGAACTACTGACAATACTGACCTCTACCATAGCAGTCTCTTCGAGGTCACAAGCTGCAACCCACTCTATTACAAGCTTCCTGCGACATGCAACAGAAGCATGCAAAAGGGCCTGCAGTGAAAAGCGTGCCAGAAAGCTCAACTATTATAATCCTCAATACTATTACATATAACTCCCAACATCCACCTGTGAATGACGTAAGGCAGAAAACAGAAGTTGGGCTAAAATTTGTACTTATTTTACAGTTACCTACTCACCTTCAACACAGAGAGGTATGAATCACTTAGTCCTGTGTACTTTCCAACCATGGCAATTCTGACCTGAAATATATAGCCAAATAGAATAATATGTGATTCACATTAAAAAAGCAGGCTGAGTATGGAAAATATTCAGAAACCACTACTAACAGGATCCTGCAGTGTGTCATAAACTCTGGTTCTTGCTGTCCACTCAGTCAAGTCAGGGTCCATGGCATTGCTGTAATCATACCAATTGATTACTAACAGAAAGGCATGATAAATAAACTGCAGTCTCAAACCATGACACAAAGAACAAACACAGAAAAGACTTTACACAAAGAGAAGAAATATAGAGAAGGTGATCCAAAGACAAACCAAAGGAGGTTCAATTCTTTCAGGATCGCGTCATGAGCCTTTTGATCCTGTTGAAGATGAAGTTAACACCAAAAGTCAAAAAGAAACACAATCAGCATACCAACAAGCTTCAGGGATACTATAGACAGAGCACAGAAATAATAAAGAGATGTTTAATTACTCTTAAAAGCAGTGGAACATGCCAAATATTTGGAACATCGTAGAGAGTTACAATATTCTCCTCCTAGAAAGACATGGGGAAAAACAAAGAGCAACCAGTTTTCTCTCAGAAAAGGCACGAGAAAGGTTGTGGTGCTAGTGAGATGGTTTTATAAGAAAATGAATGAAGAATCGTTATCACAGATACCGGCACATGGCAAAATTGAGAGAGTTTTGCCTTGACATTGTCTTCAAGTGCCTGTTACAGTAAAAGAACAGGGGGAAAACAGAAATCCATGGTTAAAACCAACATCTAGAACAAAGGATAGTCGTGGTGACCATTTATGAGATACCTTTGTGCTCCGACACGCTAGAATATTTGGCGTCAAACCAAGGCTCCTGAGTCCTCGCACGCTATGCTGGGTTGGTTTTGTCTTCTGCAACACAAGTTTTCACATAAAATTGTTACGCATCAATGCAAGAGATGACCCAAACAATAGATAATTGGAAACCATAGAAATATACCTGTTCACCAACAACACTAAGAACAGGCACGAGGCTGACATGAACCAAGCAGAAATTTCCAGGTCCTAGAACAATCATATGGACGCCGGTAAAGAAACTAGCTTTACGGGAAGAAGGTATCCCACAATATTCACTAACAAAATGCTCCGAATATCAAACGAATATAGAGCACAGGCCTCACCTACTCTATAAGAGAACTGACCAAGGGCTTCAATAAAGGGCATAGATTCAATATCACCTGGGACATAACAGAAATAAAGTTTGTGTTTCGTTGTAACTAAATATGATAAACAGTAGCCATGAAAGGCGGTATCTGCCCGTGAAAATTACCTATAGTCCCACCCAATTCAATTACGCAGACATCTGGAGAACCTTCTTTTCCGTCCACAGGAACATTAGCTACGCGCTCTATCCATTCTTGGATGGCATCGGTAATATGTGGAACAACCTAAGAGATGTAAAAGCTCAGTTTAGACGCCAAATCCAATTAGAGCCGGAGAAGTTAAGAACAGCATAAATGTACAAAACCTGTACGGTCTTTCCGAGATAGTCCCCCTTCCTTTCCTTGTCAATGACTGACTGCAGGAAATCAGAGGCACAATCTTAGCACCTTGGTACTGTAAGAAAGCTTACATAAAATACTTGACCTACTCAACTGATGAGGTGATATTTTACCTGATATATCTTTCCGGTGGTTATATTGTTGTCACGGGTTAACGTGCTGTCTAGAAACCGTTCATAGTTTCCAAGGTCCAGGTCCACCTAAACGTGAGTTCAAGTTCATCAAGGCGGGATGGAAAAGTAATAAATGAGAACGGGAGCAGATAAACACAAGACGTAATAATAACAGAAAAGCTGGTGCGTTACCTCCCCACCATCATCCAATACAAATACTTCTCCATGCTCAAAGGGAGACATCGTCCCCGCATCAGTATTAAGATAAGGGTCTGCAGGAAATCAGAGGCTTAAACAGATTAGCTTGAAAACCCACAAATAGTATATGCAATCTTTAGTTAGAGGAGTCAAGAAAAAAAAATCGTATAACTTGAACACTGAAAGCTGAAAGAGGGGAAGGGTGTGAAATCTTAGTAGCAGAGAAAAAAAAAAGAATATCTTGATTGATATCTCGTCCAGTTATGGTAATATAGAT